GGCGGTGCGGTCCCGCGGCGGGCGCGGAGCTCCGCGGCCAAGGGCGCCCGCGCTGCCTCCGTGCCGCCCGCGCTGCCCTTCCTCAACATGGCGGCGCGGGGGCGCCGCTTCCCCAGCCTCCGCCAATCAGCGCCGAGGCGTGGCGGAAGCAGGGGCAGAGCCGGCCAATGGGAGTGCGGCGGGGGCGGGGCCGCGGCGACAGCGGCGGCACGGGGTGAAATTTCTGGAAGGTGCGGCCGGAGCGGGGCCGGGACCGGGATCACGGTCGGGATCGGAACTGGAATCCGGGCCGGGCCGGGGGCCGCGGGCGGTGACGGCCCCCAGCGCCGCCGCCATGAACCACAAGAGCAAGAAGCGGATCCGTGAGGCGAAGCGCAGCGCCCGGCCCGAGCTGAAGGACTCGCTGGACTGGACCCGGCACAACTACTGCGAGACGTTCCCCCTGAGCCCCGGCGCCTGCAAGGTGCGTGGGCTGAGGGGAGGAGGAGTGAAAGGCTGGGAATGGGGGATGGAGGGGGGGAAATGAGGAATGGAGAATGGAGCGGGGGAAATGGGGAATGGAGAGGGGGAAATGGGGATGGAGAGGGGGAAATGAGGAATGGAGAATGGAGCGGGGGAAATGGGGAATGGAGAGGGGCGCGACTGAGCAAGTCCTGCGGGGAACGAGGAAGAGCCCTGGGGGCACGGCTGGGGCCTGGGGGGCCCTGAGGGTTCGGGGACGGAGGGGGCGACTGAGGGGATTGGGAGGTGAAGGGGGAGCTGCGGGATGTCTGATGGGAAGCGGGAATGGCCCTTTTTTTTATCCTCACCAGCTGCAGGAGAGCTCTGGTGGGGACAGGACTTTCTTCCCTCCACGTGGCGAGGCGTGTGGGAAGGTCGGGGCCCGCCGGGGTGGAACGGGAGCGCTTCCCGGTGTCCCGAGGGAGGGAATCGCAGCGAGGGATGTGCCAGCCCAAAGGGCAGGGCGGCCTCTCCGCCCGCGGAGCTGTGCCAAGGGCTCCGGGTGTCACTGAGTGTGCAGGGAGCAAAAACGGGGCTGCAGCCTCGGGGAGCTTAAAATAACACCGAGGCAGCTCCACAGCCGCGTGCTGTGCGGAGCAAAGGATGTAATGTGTGAAGGAAGCACCCCCACAAGCAAGCACAGCCCTGTCAGTCTGTCCTCATGCCTGTCCTGCCCTCCTCCCTCGGTTTCACAGGATAACGTGGAGAGGGCAGACGCACTCCAGCTGACAGTGGAGGAGTTTGTTGAGCGTTATGAGAAGCCTTACAAGCCCGTGGTGCTGCTGAACGCCCAGGTGGGCTGGTCTGCCCAGGAGAAGTGGACGCTGGAGCGGCTGAAACGCAAGTACAGGAACCAGAAGTTCAAGTGTGGGGAGGACAATGATGGCTACTCTGTGAAGATGAAGATGAAATATTACATCGAGTACATGGAAACCACGCGTGATGACAGCCCCCTGTACATCTTTGACAGCAGCTATGGGGAGCATCCCAAGCGAAGGAAACTCCTGGAGGACTACAAGGTCCCCAAATTCTTCACTGATGATCTCTTTCAGTATGCAGGGGAGAAGCGAAGGCCACCCTACAGGTAGAGTGACAGCAAGACAAAACTGGGTATTTTCCAGTTATTCCTAAATACCTGGGATGGTCTCATGTAAAAAAGGGGATATTTTTGCATCATCTCTGAAATGAGTGTACATCTGTAATCCTGTGGGAAAGAAGAGCAGATTTATATAATAATTTTTTCTCCTGGCACCAGTGTTGCTACAGGTTTATTGTTCAGGTTTTTTTTTATTCTGTTAAGTCAGTTTACATCACTTCTAAGTTACATAGTTACTGAGAGCTGTAAAGATCATTTTCTTGCTCTGTGTGCCTTCTTGTGTTCAGATTTTAAATACCTCGGGAACAGCTCCTGGGTTTTGCACCAGTGGCTTATGTACAGTGTGGAATTTTGTTTAATTATGAGTCACTCCTTTTAAGGTAAAGATCTTAAGATAGATTAGGATCTAAAATGGGCACCAGTTCTTAGCTCCCCTTCAGATGGTTTTGGGAGAGAACAATATTTCATATCTGTGTAGTCTTTTCAACTCTTTATTTTTGCTTCAGCTTGGAAGAGGGTGAAATGCCATTTCATTCATATATTCAACTGCAACAACCTTGTATTTCGACTTCTAGATAAAAAGCCATTTTTATCTATGTTACTATGACACTTCATAGCACTGTGAGCTCAAATTGAACCCTCCCAAGTAATTAAAGTCTTTACAGTGACATTATAATTGTCAGACAATGCCTGTTGCTCTTTGAGTGACATGAGGCTGTGATGTGGTTTATTTAAATCAAATTGAGCAAGAGCTCATCAGTAATGGCACTTTCCTCTGCACCCTCATGTGTCTGTAGTCCAGTTGTGCTTTTGCAGGAGTGAAGCAAGAGCCTGATTCCATTTGAGATCACTGAAGGAGGTGTTTTTACAGTGCTTTCCAGAATTCTCTTCTAAGAGCATCCAACACTGTGGTCAAACACAAAACCACACCCGGTGTAGTAGAAATTAAATACATTTAATGACCTCGAGATCATTTACCCGAGTTAGAGGTGAATGAGAGTCTGGTTGTGACTCATTTATTTTGCTGTCTGTGTCCCCCACACCCTCCCCACCTACAGGCACATGCTGAGCTCCTTGCTCATGATCTTGGTATCCAATTTCTTGTGTTTTGTTCTGGAAAATTAGTATTTTTCAGGTTGTTGAGGTTTTTTGAGAGCTGACTGATGCACGAGAGCACAGTGATGTCTCCTGGAGTCAGAGGGTTCATCTAGGTACAGAAATGACTGTGCAGTAAATTTAGAGTATAATTGAAAATCTGATAAGTGGTGCTAATTGTATGAGGAGGATACAACCTCTACAGGTTGATCTCTGGATTGAGAGGTGTATGATAGTGTGTAGACCTTAAAAGAACAATTGGTTTAGCACATTTTTATTGGCATTGTTCCTCTTTAAAATAAAGACAGTGATTTCTGGAAGCCATTTACTGAAGCAGCTATTTTAATTTGAGGAAGGTGGCTGGGGTTTGCTTTCAGGTTGGATTTAGGAGCTGTGAAGTTTTTAATGGTAAATTTGATGTCTTGGGGCAAACTCTGTTTTGTTCGTTATAAATTAAGTATTTGGAGGAAGGTGCTGGTAAATGACAGTGTTGCTAAATAAGGGTTTTAAAACCTGTGTGTGTAGATTCAGGTTATTGTCAGAAAAAGGGTTTTGAGCAGGGCATCTGTCTGTGCCAGACAGAGCTTCGTGTGTATAATTTCTTCTGATTTCTTAACAAAAGCCTTGACTGTTCTACCTGTAGTGCAGTCAGCTTTCTAAGCATAATATAAATCTAAAGAGTGAATTTGCAATAGAAATGACAAACACCTGCTTATTTACAGCTCCTTTGTGAAGCAGGAAGAAATCAGCTTGATGATCAGACTTTACTGTCCTACAGTTGATGCCAGCAAATGATCCTTCAAAACCAGTTTGATTTACACCTGTACTGGAAAGGGGAGATGGAGAACTTGCTGTATTTTCTGAACCTTTGCATTCCTCTTGCTGGGCATCACCCTCCTGCCACTACACCATGAAGGGATTGTGTTGGTGCTTTAGTGTCTGCACTCTCTTGCTGCCAGTTAAACAATTTTTGTCATTTTTTCCTCTTGGTGCTTGCTATGAAGTCACCTCACACTGCTTTTTCTGGTGTGGTTGCTCTTACTGCTCTGTTCCAGGGAAAATGAGCAGCTAAAGGTGCTGCTGCAGTTAAACATGTACAGTAGATAAAGTTCTCCACTGGGAGAAATAAACCTTGTAAATGGGCAGGGGGAATATAAACCTCAAATCCTGAGTGGGCACTGGAGAATAAGCTCCATGTAGTTAAGTGTTGGAATGAAAAGCCCCTTGTGAATGAACAGAAGGCAAAGAGAGAGGCCAGGGTTGTGTAACTTGCTCTGTTCCTTGTTGTTGCCTTTTGTTCCTCATTGTTCTGCAGTTCTGATGTGTTTGAGCAGCAAATTCTAGAAAATCATAGGAGAATCTCCCTGCCTAGGAAGAATCCCAGCACGGGCAGTTGGGACTTAATCATGCTCATAAACTTTGAAATCATGATTTTATTGAAGAACTGTTTTAAACAAAATACAGCTATGACACATCAAAAGTCATCTTCACTTACTTATCCCACAGTCATTCCTGTCCCAATTCATACAGGATTTTAGGTTAACCTCCTGTTAAATTCTTTTGCTGCAGTGTGAACTTAGCCAAATCAGGAATGTAAATGAAGGAACTGTAGTTACTTTAATTTCTAACTGAATGTGCAATGAGTGCTCTAATTGTCAGTCTAACATGAAGAAAGGGAGCTACCTGCCTGCTCTGTGACTACAGCACTTTTCTTCCCCCCTCATGCAGATGGTTTGTGATGGGCCCACCTCGTTCTGGAACAGGAATTCACATTGACCCCTTGGGAACCAGTGCATGGAATGCCTTAGTGCAGGGACATAAGCGTTGGTGCCTGTTCCCAACCAGCACCCCCAGAGAGCTGATCAAAGTGACACGGGAAGAGGGGGGCAACCAGCAGGACGAGGCCATCACCTGGTTCAATGTCATCTACCCTCGGACACAGCTTCCCACCTGGCCCCCCGAGTTCAAACCCCTGGAAGTCTTACAGAAACCAGGAGAGACAGTCTTTGTGCCAGGTATGTGCAGATTTCTCCAGGGAGGAAATCTGGGAGGAAAAAAAAAGCATATTTGTAACATTCCATTTGTAACATTTCAGCTTTCTTATATGGCCCGTTTCTTACAAAACAAACTGAGCTCATTTTGAGACTACTCAGTTACATCCTGAATGTCACAAAATGTGTATGACCTGTGGGTAGAATTGCATGTGATACAGATGGCAAAACAAGTGGGATTTAAATTGCAGCATCACAGGAATGTAATCTGAACTAAACTGCAGTAGTAGAAAGCTGTCAGGGCATAAAATAATGGCATAAAATAATGGCATACAATAATAGAGGTGTTTGAGCCCCAGTAACTCTTAGACAAAAATGTTTTAGTTTTTACATGCTGGAGCAAATTTATGGCTGAATTTTGCATGTGAATGTTTCTTAGCTGTGGGAAATGAACTACTTTAAAGGCACTGACACCTTCCACCCACCTCTCTGTGCTTATGCTTCATCTTGCATTTGAAATCAAAAGCTAAATAAAGCTGTGCTGAAGATGCCCTTCCCTCTGAGTGGCTGCACACTGTGTGCCCATTGTAAGTGGGGGTGAGGTGAGTTCAGTACCAGATTCTAACCTCTGAACCTTGCATCATTTATGTGCAGCACAGCCCATAGTTTCTGTCCACATTGCTTGTCTCTAATATCCAGCTGACTTGGTGTGTGTGAAGGGTGCCTTGTGATTGTCTTGGCACTTATTAGTGACTCCTGAGTGTACCTTCTGTTAAGAGTTTGTAGCTGTCGGGTTCCATTAAACTGTTCCCTCAGTCTTTTCTGAGCCTCTAAGTGGGTTGTAAGAACTCCACTATTTTTATCCCATGTGGAAAAACAATTTTGCATCTATGTTTAAATGAAAGGTTAGTCTGTAGTCATAAGAACTTTGCAAAATCAGCGTGGAGAGTGCTCTGCAGCTGAACAGAAAGGGCTCTGTGCACTCTGGGTTACAATGGCTGCTGCTGTTAAATAAACTGTCAGCAGCCAGCCTGGTGCTGTCAGGTCACATCTTCAGTCCTGGGTGTGAGCTGGGTAATTTGGGCAGAGCACGGAGCTGCCTTCTGTAACAAGAACCTGTCAGGCACTGGGGTGAAAGCTGAAATAAGGCAGGAAAGGTGATGTGTTGGAAAACACTCCGGGGTTTGGGTGATAAGTCCAGTTCCACCTGCACTGTGGGAAAGGTGTTCTTGGCTGTTCTTGAGCTTGCTCTCTGCCATGCAGCCACCAATGGTCACTGCTGTTGTGTTTTAGGTGGCTGGTGGCATGTAGTCCTCAATCTTGACACGACTATTGCCATCACACAAAACTTTGCCAGCTGTACCAACTTCCCAGTGGTGTGGCACAAGACAGTAAGAGGGAGACCTAAACTGTCACGGAAATGGTACAGGTAAGAGATTCAGTAGCTTTCTTTGTATATTCTCCATAGAAAACAAGACCTAAAAATATTCATTAATGTGCAGTGTTACAATTCAAAGGCTAACCCTGAAATTTCAACTGTATTTAGGATCCTAAAGCAGGAGCATCCTGAACTGGCAGCCTTGGCTGATTCAGTTGACCTGCAGGAATCTACTGGTATTGCTTCTGACAGTTCTAGTGATTCTTCCAGTTCATCAAGTTCCAGCTCCTCCGACTCTGATTCAGAGGTAATGCTTTTTACTGCAATAGGTGATCCATATTCTGCATTTACATTGTTTTTCCATACCTGATCATGTGCCTTCATCCTGATATTCATGCCATATGGAATAAATTAATGGGAAGCAGCTAAACCAATCTACATGGTGGAGGAGCCTGTGATCTTAGCAGGTTCTGTTTGCTGAAGCCTCTCTGCATTGCTAAATGCATTCAATCTGTTTGATCCATGTCTATATTATATATGAATCTGTCACTCATTTAGCTTGTGGAAAATAGCTGCAAAGTGAATGTTCTAAAAATTGGGGGAGGGGGAAGAAATCCAAAACAGGTCAGTTATGGCACGGGACTCTTGCAACACCTAAATCCTTCAGAAGCCAAAGTCTTCTCTTGGAAGACGAGGTCCTTCTAGGGATCAAAAGAAGCACATTCATTGTTGTTCCTCAAGTTGCTTTAGCCAGTGATGAAATCCAAAACTGTTTCTGTTGCTGACTTTTCTATGCCTGATTTAAAATTTCCTTGATGTGTCTAGCCTAAAACAGCAGGTTGTTTGAGCTCAGGGTTGCTGAGCTCAAAGAACTGGTGGGGAATTGCACAGCACAGACAGCTGTTGAGGTTCCTCTGAACTGTGCTTTCACCTTTCCACGCTGCAGTGTGACTCTGGCTCTGAGACAGAGGGGATGATGCACCGCAGGAAGAAGCGGAGGACGTGCGGCATGGTGGGCAACGGGGACACCACCTCCCAGGACGACTGCGTGAGCAAAGAGCGCAGCTCCTCCAGGTGACCCGGGCAAAGCTGGCACACTTCAGACAGGGCATTCCTCAGGAGAGGGGCATGGAGAGCAAGGGACATAAAGCAGTTGGCCAGTGGTATCTTCCCTCTGTGAATGATTTCAGTTGTTCCAAACAGAAAACTAAGATTATTGATGTCTCTTTTAAAATCGGGGGTTTTATTTAATAAACAGACTTATTACTTTTCCTAGTTGTCTCTTTTAATAGATGAAAGGATTTGATTTTTATCTTTGTTTAATGAGAGAGGTGGGATGTTTAAACTGCTCTTCAGAGAGCACAAATGAATAGTGAACAGTTAAAGATGAAAAATGATCAGGCAGCACTCAGATTTCAATGTCTTGTTCAAACAGAAAACCTTCAAGTAGTTGTATGGTTTCTCTTGCTGCTGCCTGGACTATTTCAATTTGTTCACTGCTTTATCTGTTAAAGGCAAAATTCATCCTAAATTCCAAATGTCTGTGTTTACATTTTAAATAAATAAATAAATACATACATAAATATTAATCAAGTTTCAGTCAGTGTGGAAGGAGGCAACATTAATATTGCAAAATCAAGGATAGATATGCTTAGGGTAAAATTGCTGAGGAAAGCAATTCTCTGGACAGGCCAGGTTAAAAAGAGTGGAACGCTGGGAATTTGTAGGGAAGAACTTAAACATTCTTTGCTAAATGAAGCATTTTTCTCATATAGCAGAGGCTTGCCAAAAATTCTTAAGCAAATTCCTTGCAGCTTGGTTAACCAGTGCTGCTGGATTGGCTGCCTGCCTGCCTTAGAGTGCTGGCCAGCTCCTGAGCTCTTGGATGCTCCAGGTTTGGCATGGATGCAAGTGCTGTGGTGGCTTAGTGTGTGGCTTGCTAAAGAAGGTGTGCAGCAGTAATTGACCTGAGGAAGTCCATATTCCAGCATGATTCCTGCCTGGCTCCCTAGTGTGGGGACTGCCTGGAGGCCTGTGTGCTCCTGTAGATTGCTCTCTTGTTTCCAGCAGTTGCTCATAACTGAATACAATTGAATTACAAGTACAGAGCATCATTAAAGGTTGGGGAGAGCTGTACTGACTGCTTATTTTGCCCTGGGGGTTTCCACAGTTTGCTTGTTATGACATTGTCAAATCCCATTTTGGCAGCCAGTGTGACTTCAGGCAGGGAATGAGCAGCAGGAAGGAGCAAACATTTAATGCAGTGCCTGGTTTAAAAAGAAAGCTGTAAAAATGCAGATCATGATGCAGATCTGTTTTTCTGAAAAACCTGTGCACTTTTTAATTATTTGCCATTCAGATATTGAAATGAATACCCTAAATATTGAAAATTAGCACCTTGCTTTCTGGGTTTCACTGTTCTGCCTCCCATATGTTGATTGTTTCACTCTGTGAGGGTGGGTGGGCGTTCTCTTCCAGCTGTGTGATGGTTTAATTGCTAGAAATGCTTCCAAACATGAAATCCTAACCCTGCTTGTACAATGCTGGAGGAAGAATAAGGCTGAGATTAATCTGCATGCTGGGATCTTGTGCCCTGATACAAGGGGGAATGCTTAAAGGTACCTTTTTTTGACAGGATTAGGGAATCTTGTGGAGGCCGCAGCTACCCCTGAGGGATAACACCACCTACCCAGAGGCAGCTGCTGATGGAAGCTCTGTTAGCAGCCAGCCAGCTCTGTTCTACTCCCTTCTGCTTCTATTTCTCACACTCCTTAAGTTTTTGTTACTCTTCCTCAATCCAGACATCTTCGTTCCGTGCTGTCCAAGGTTGGTTCCCTGAAGGGAACTGTAGGAAACTGCATCCTTTGTGCAATGCTTTGTCCCCTCTGCACCCCGGGTGAGTGCACCCCAACCCAGCTGTGGGGAAGGACATGCCAAGTATTTCATGGCTCACAGAACTGGCAAGGAAGGCAACGGTCAGTTTTTAAAGAACTCTTTTTAAAACCAGCAGGTAAATGTAAAGACCTGCCTTGCTTTGACGCTGTCGTATGTTTACATGTTGTCCTGTACACTTGAGGAAAGGAGCACCAGCCCTTTTGGCCTATTGGAATGACTGGTGGGTCTCACTCCACAATTTTGGGAAGAACAAGGAGGAAATGAGCTTCTGCAAGAGCTGAGCTGTGGAAAAATGAGTCCTTGGATCTTACCCTGCTGCAGGAGAGCATTGCTGTCAGGGCTGGCACTCCAAGTGTGTGTCTCATAAAATCCTGGAATACGGGCACCTGGAAAGAACCCATCAGGATCACTGAGTTCAACCCTGGCCCTGCACAGAAACCAAAACCCCACCCTGTGCCCAAGAGCATTGTTCAAACACTTCATGAGCTCAGACAGGCTGTGCTGTGACCATTGCCCTGGGGAGCCTGTTCAGTGCCCAGCCACCCTTGGGGTGAAAAACATTTTTGTGATATCCAACCTAAACCTGCCCTCACTCAGCTCCAGGTGTTTCCTTGAGCCCTGTCACTGGTCACAAGAGTGAAGAGATTGGTACCTGCCCCTCTGCTGTCCTTCGTGAGGATGCTGAAGACAAAAATGAGGTCTGACCTCAGTTTCCTCCAGGCTGAACAGACCTGGTGACCTCATCCTCGTGCAGCTTCCCCTCCAGACCCTTCACCATCCTCATGGCCTCCTTTGGACGCTCTCCAAATGTCTGTTAGGTGTTGTGGTTCCCAAAACTGCCCCCAGCACTAAAGGTGAGGCTGCCCCAGTGCAGAGCAGAGCAGGACACTCCCCTGCCTTTCTTGGCTGGCGGTGCTGGGACTGGTGCCCCCAGGACATGGTTTGCCCTCTGGGCTCCAGGGCACTGCTGGCTCAGATCCAGTTTGCCACCAACCCCCAGGTCCCTTTCCACAGCTCTGCTCTCCAGCCTCTCATTCCCCAGTCTGTCCACACCACCAGGAGTGCCCAGACCCCAGTGCAGAATCCAGCCCTTGTTAAACTCCACATGGTTGGTGATTGCCCATCTCTCATTTGTTGAGGCCTCTCTACCCTTGAGGGAGTTGACAGCTCCTCCCAATTTAGTGTTTTTGGCAAACTGAATATTCCTTCCAGTCCCGTGTCCAAGTCATTAATGAGGATGTTGAAGAGCACAGGGATGAAGACAGAACCCTGCAGAACTCCACCAGTGACCAGTGCCAGCCTGGTGTCACCCCAGTCACTGTCACCCTTTGTGTCCAGCTGTGAGCCAGCTGCTCACCCTTCATGTGACATGATTTTAACCAGCTGTGGGCTGGACAGTCTGTCCAGAAGGTCACTGGGAGAGACAATATCCAAAGTTTTGCTGAAGTCCAAAAGGAAACATCTGCTGCCTTTCCTAGATCAATGAGGGGGGTCTCGCTGTCACAGAAGGAGAGCAGGGTCAACAAGCAGGACTTTCCCTTGGTGAAGCTGTGCTGCCTGTGACTGGTGCCTGCATTGTCCTCCAGGTGTTTTTCAGTACTTTCCAGAATAATCTCTTCCATGATTTGGCTGGGCACTGGAGTGAGACTGACAGGCCTGTGATTTCCAGGGTTCTCCTCCTTGATGTTGAAAACTGGGACATTGGCCAGCTTCCAGTCATCTGGAACCCCTCTGGATTCCCAAAACTGCTCAAAAATCATTGAGGGGTTTTGCAATGACATCAGCAGCATCTTGAGGATCCTCAGATGAATGCCATGAGGCCCTGTGGCCCTGTTGTAGGCATCCATGTGGAGCAGCAGATCCTCCTGCTTTGGGGTCAGCTTGGACATTCCCACAGTCACAGCTCCAGCTCAAGGCACTGAGATCCTCTTGGTCCATCAGCTGTGATGAAGACAGGCAAAGAAGCATTAAAAACCTCTGCCATGTCCATGTCTCTGTTTGTGAGGAGACCATCCTCGTCCTGGAATGGGCCAGTGTTATTTCTAATTTGCTTTTTGCCATTAATATATTTGAAAAACCTATTTTTTATTTCCCTCACAGTTCTGGCCAGTTTCATCTGCAGCTGAGCTTTGGCCACATGAATTTTCTCCTTACAGTGGCAGCAGCATTTCTGTATCCTTCCCATGTCACCTGACCTTGCTTCCACTGGGCAAACACCTTCCTTTGCCATCTTGTTTCCAAGAGAAGATCCCTGTTCAGCCAAGGAAGGGGAGGTGCTGTGAATGCCCCAAGCACTGCAGCAGCTTCAGCAGAGGTGACCTCCAACCTGAAGCATCTTCTGTGGGCTGAGTCTGCGTGCTCCATGCACACACCTGAGGTGCAGCACCTGAACCAGAGCAGTCCCTCCAGTCTGGCAGGGTGACAGTAACAAAGCTGCCCCTGCACCTTGGGATGGAAGCTCAGTGGAGCAGGAGAATCCTGGAATTTCTTACACAGGGAAAAGCATTTGCCAGTACTTCCAATCCTTCAGGTGTGTTGTTTGGCCCAAGGCAGCTGCTGACAAAGTCTGACTCTGGCAGGATCACATGTGCTGGGCTTGGAACACCAAACACTTCTGGGGCTGTGGGCTCGCTCAGGCCAGTGCAGTTCACAGCCCCAAATGGCTTTTCTTTGAGGTTATGTGTTCAGACCTTTCTGAAAGTTGCAGTGCCAATTTTAAAGGACTGAGGGAGGGGGACATGTTGGTGTTTTATGCTTTTTAAAAATGCAATGTGTTGTTTAAGTCTGTGTAGATGCATTTGTATTATGCCAGGTCAAGCTCTCGTCCCCAAGGGATCTTTTGGAGCTGCTGGTTTGTTATATTAGCAGGGGCTTGTGCTGGTGGTGTCTCTGTGTGGCTGAAGGTGCTGCCAGGAAATCGGAATTTCCCATGGGCTGCTTCAGTGGGTCTCTTCTGAGCCCTAGGAAGTGGGCACAGAACTCACTTCAGCCATTCTTTGGGAGAGGAAACTTGACAGCAGAACTGCTGTGTATGTAATAAACACACAGCAATGCCCAGGCACCGATGAAAGAGCAAATTAAAGAGAGATTAAAGCCTCAACTGTGATTTTCTTAAACGTGTTGGGTTTGGTGGAACCTGGATTGTTGCTTTTCTGTGCTCTCTGATCCATTTTTAACCTTGTCTGTTCCTTATTTAAACACTCCTGGGCCATATCCTTTTGTACAAAGGAATCCTAAATGTGTTTGTGGGGATCTCTGTTTTTGAGTCTTTTGTGCCAGTAAGAGCAGGGTGGTGGTGGGGAGATGGAGAGAGGGAAGGTTTATTGACACATTCTTTAGCTGTCCAGACTCCCAAATTTCCTGTGATAGGCAGCCAGGCATAAGCAAGCACACTTACTCTGTAGCCACTGCAGATTCTTCAGCAAGATCACTTTTAACAAATCCTCCAACTTCTCCAACTCCTGGCATTTCTGGCCAAGGCTGAACAGCCTGGGAGCCTGCACAGTCTGTGTGTGTCCTCTCAGAGATGTCTGCAGCTTTTGGAATCATATGGGGCCTGGAGGGGTGAATGCTCACAAGGCTCAGCTCTGTCAGGGTGAGGGGAGTCCTGGGAGAGCTGTCCCTTCCTCTCTGGTGGCTGGGCAGCACCTCAGTGAGATGCAGCTGCATTTGGCACATGGTTCAGTTTGCACAGTCTAAAATGTGATGTGAAAGCCTGATTGCTGTGCTGGGAAAGCCACAGCTCTGCCTCTAGAAGCAGCGTGGGAAGATGCAGAGTGCAGAGCATTCCTCCCTGCCTGTGAACTCTTCCATAATGTGAAATAAAGCAGTTCCAGGGGAAGCCTGTGTTGGTGTGACACCCTCACAGCAAAGCAGCGTGTTCACAACAGACAGCAGACATCATGACACCAGCAACCCTCTCCTGCCTGCCCCACAGGGCATTTCCTGCTGTGAAACAGTGTCTGCAGGCTTACCTGGGAATCAGGACTCTGGGATCTCCAGTTCTTCCACTTCTGGCTTTTGCCTGAGCCACTTTGGTGAGTTTTTGAGCAGTGAGGAAAACCCCTGCCTTGCAGGGCTGTGAGGCTGAGGTGCAATTGCTGTGTAAGATGCTTTGAAGCCATCCCACAAAACATGTTCCATTCATCCGGAGCAACCTGAGACTTCTGAGCCTGGTGGGAGCTTTTTGTAGCAGAAAACATTGGGGATGTTGTTCAACACTGCTGGCCACGTGGTGTTCTGTGATGGCCCTTCCAGAATTGCTGTGTGGTACAGAAATTGTAGCAGAACAAAACTTCTGTTTTCACCAGGGTTGAGCTGTTGTGTTCCGTGGCCTGCTCTAAACAGGATCTGGTTTTAAATAGGACTGGATGCAATTTTCTCATCAGGGAGTCAGCTCCTCTGGCCGTAGAGGAATGGGGGGAGCTGGTGCTTCCCAGGCCCTCACTTCAGCCTGGGTGAGGGTGGAACAGTTAAAAACTGTGCTCCCTTTGTGCCTCACTCCATGCTTGGAATCTGCCTGGGGAGAGTGGGCTCTGTGCTCTCATTTCTCCAGGCTTGTGCTTCTTGGGACATCCTTGTGTTTTGTTCCAACCCTGCTGCTTTGTTCTCCAGAGCCCTGGATGCAGCTGGCCCACACCCCGTGGAGCCCTCGTTTCCTTGAGCCCCAGGGCAGCAGCACAGCTCTGCCTCACTTCTCTGGGGCTCCCTGCTCCCCAGGGATGGCAGAGGGCCTCAGCCTCGGGCTGGCTGTCACTGTCACAGTCCTGCCTGCCCTGGGACAGGTGATGGGATTTGGGAGCTCTGCCTGTGCTTTGGAGCCTGGTGACAGCCACAGGCAGGCAGAGCTCAGGAGGAAACGATCCAGCACTCCATCAGAGCCACAAACTGGGCAGGAGGCACCAGTGCCAGCAGCTGCTCCCTGCACAAGTGCTGTGGGGAGCAGGTGACACCAGGAGCCTCTGGCAGAGCTCCCTCCCCTTTCAGCCTGGTGTGTGCTGGCTTCAGCTTCTCTTCTCAGTTACATCAAACCTCTCCAAATGCTTCAAGGAAAGACAGCAGCCTCTTTCATAGTTAACCTCCCCTCTCCTCCCTGAGTCCCCAGCCACTGTGGGCTGGAAGTGAGACTGAATCCAGGCTGGAATGCCTCTGTGGGCACTTTGTAACTGGGAGGATTTTGGCATCCCCCTTGCAGAGGGGGGAAGGAAAGTGTTACCCATTTGTGTGACAGTCCCACTGTCAGCTCCAAGCCCTGCCACTGCCCTTAGCTGCTTTTATCACCCATCCAGCAGAGCTGGGATACTTGTCTTGTTCGGATGATTGTGGTTTTGCTTTTTATTTTAAATAAAATCAATTATTTTGCATTATCTTGTCACTTTCTTTCATACTGCGATCTGAAAAAACCTTAGAGGTGTGCACCTCTGTCCCCCAAAGTGCTAAACGTGCTGGGAGCAGCTCTGGGGATGCTTGAGGCTTTGCCCATCTGTGCTGGGCTGTGGTTTGGAAGCTGCTGGAGGTGAGTTTTGTTGGTAGCTTTGTTACCAGACTGTCCCACCTGCTCTTTGGCCCTGCCCTGGCCTCTCCAGGCTGTCACAAGAGGTTTCTGTGTTGTGTTTCTGGTGCCACCTCACACTGCCAAGAGGGGGTTTCATCTTCCAGATCCTGTGCTGCTTTGGGATGGCCACCATGGTGACCAGAGGGATGGAGCACTTCTCCCATGAGGAAAGGCTGAGAGAAATGGGATTGTTCAGCCTGGAGAAGCCTCCAGGGTGATCTATTGTAGCCTCCTGCTCCCTGGAGGGAACCTACAAGAAAGAGAGAGAGACATTTTACAAGGGCCTGGGGTGACAGGACAAGGGGCAATGGCTTCAAGCTGACAGGGAGTAGGTTTAGCTTGGATATTAGGATGAAATTCTTCCCTGTGAGGGTGGTGGGGCCTTGGCACAGGTTGCCCAGAGAAGCTGTGGCTTCCTCATTCCTGGAAATGTCCTGGAAAGGTCAGGGTGGAGCAGCCTGGGATCATGGAAGGTGTCTCTGCCCATGGCAGGGCTGGTACAAAATGAGCTTTAAGGTCCCTTCCAACCCAACCCATTCTGTGATTCCCTGGTTCTAAATAAGCCCCACAGTGCAGAGAGGTTCTGTGGAAGGGCTGCACCCCAAGCAGAGGGGTTTGGGGCAGAGCTGCCTCAAGGAGCTGGGCTGTGAGGGGGAACAAGGACTGGGAAGATGGGGCAACTTCTACATTTTGTCAGTGAGTGTTGTTGAAACCAGTAACTGTGGGTAAACAAGCTGGAACAGAGTGGGACAGCAGCCCTGAGGCTTTTGAAATATTTATAGCAATATACTGTAAAATGAAACACCTCAAAGAGTAAAGGGCTTTGTGGCAGCAGACAGGCAGTTCACTCATTTCCACATAAACCTCTGTCCTCCCCTTCCCAGCCACTGCTGGAAACATTCTTCTTCTTTAGTGTCACCTGTAAAGCTTTTTTTTTTCTTCTTTCCAGTTGCCCTTCAGCAGCTCTCCCCAAGCCCAGCTCACCTCCCCTGCTCCATGCACAATTAGCAAATGAGCCCCTCCTCTCCTTGTGGGTGATCTGGGTGTGTCCATGCCTGGCATTTAACATTTAACAATTCCAGAAAATGCTGCGACTTAATGGTGGCTAAAAACTGTGTACAGCCCCTGTAGAAATGCTTTTATAATTGATCTCTCGGGGTCTGTCCCCAGCCATCCCCGGCTCTCTCAGGCACTGTCCCGGGGCTCTCGGGCACTGTCCCCAGCCATCCCGGGGCTCTCGGGCACTGTCCCGGGGCTCTCGGGCACTGTCCCCAGCCATCCCGGGGCTCTCGGGCACTGTCCCCAGGCCATCCCCGGCTCTCTCGGGCACTGTCCCGGGGCTCTCGGGCACTGTCCCCTGCCCGTCCCGGGGCTCTCGGGCACTGTCCCCAGCCATCCCGGGGCTCTCGGGCACTGTCCCCAGCCATCCCGGCTCTCCGGGCGCTGCAGGGCTGTTCTCCTCCCGAGAGAGGGCAGCGCGCTCCAGCCGCTGCCGCTGCCCCGCTCCGGGCTCAGCCCAAGCCTGGCCCGGGGGTGCCGTGCCCAGGGACCCCTGCCCGAGCCCCCAGTGCCAGCAGACCCCGAGTTTGTCTGCGGGCAGGCCCGGGCGGAGGTGCCTGGCTGGGAGCCTGCCTGGCTGAGCCGAGTGTGAATCCATCCCCTCCCACAGCGGGAATGATGAAGCTGGAGGCATCAATCACGCTTTGGAAGTTGATAGAGGAACCCCAGGGATACCTCAGTGCCTCCCGGCAGGAGCTCTGGCCAGGGACCAGGCCGAGTTTATTCCATCAGTTCCCTCATGGAGGGGACAGGCCAGCATCACAGGGGACCTGCTGTGCCCGAATCCTGCTCGGGGGACCATCCCCATCAGATCACGTTCTGCAGGAGCTTTCACCCCAGGTGTGGACACGGGGAGCTGAGCTCTGTTGCTGATCCTGTCACCTCGTTACTGCACGAGTTTGGCTCAGTTAGAGCAGCTCTTCTGGCAGACACGTCCTTGCTGCTCCTGCCTGTTGCTCTCAAGACCAGGAGTGTTGTTTTTCACAGACATCCAAACCCGGCAGCTCTCACAGCTCCTGTGAGTGCTGCAGATTCCAGCAACCCGAGAGGGAATTGCTGCAGGTCCAGAGCCAGGAGCTGCTGCTGTTGAGCACCTCTGAAGCTCCTGTTGATTCCCTTGTCAGGGATTCCAGCCCCCGGAGAAGCTGTCAGGACCAGCTTCTCTTATTTTAAATAAATAAATAAGAGATAGATAGATAAATAAATAAATAAATAAATAATAAATCCTGCTCCGGAGGGTGCTGGCTGAAGTGCTCTGTCTCCGTGCTGGGTTAATGCAAGCCACATGCTGCTGCATTCCTGAGCGGGCAGACACCCTCCAACACCCTTCCAACCAAGAGCTGTGGAAAATTTATACTGCCAGGAGAAAGAGCAGGAGTGTCCTGGGTGTTGGCAGCAATCAAGGGCACTGTGACAGCTGGAAATGTAACACCTAAACACGCCATGTCACCCTATTAGCTGCTCCCAGTGGCCAATTTCCCTCAGTCTCACCCAAAATTCTTCTTTATGCCCCAAACTGACAGTGAGCACAGGAGCAAGGACCCAGACGCTGGAACTTCCCCACCCTGACGCTGTCTCTGGCCATGAGCCATTTCCAGGGCTCAGAGGGAGCCTCTGAAGGCTGCACTGGACTCGGGATGATGCCCTCATGGCTACCGGGATTAGGGCAAGCAGGGGGCAGAAGGGACCAAACACACACGGAAAAGCTGCTGAACCAAGGAGCTGTGACGCTGCCAATCTCCGGGTGATTTGGCTGAGCTCTAGAGCAGCTCTGACGATCGAGACCCAGGAAATGCAAAGCTCTGCGGGAGAAGGGCAGATAAAGCCCGTGGTTGGTTGTTGCTAAGAATACAATTATCCAAACGCTAACGATTGCCTGCCTGATAGGATTACCAATAAAGACAAACGCAGTGAGGATCATGGCTTCACTTCCTTCCTCCCACCCGGGGATTTAATCCCGTCTTTGTTTGAGTTTTGTCTTTGGGCAGTCAACAAAAAAACTCTGCTCCGGGTGGTATCCCCAGAGCCTTATCCCTGGAAGGAACTTTCCGGGGTGAATTCCATGTCTGCTCCCCTCACGTGCATCCCACTCCGTGCTGGTTTCACCCTGGCAGGAATAGTTCAGGCCTTCTAATTTCAGCCTGCTTTGTAAAAGGTTGGCTAATCCTCCCAGCAGTCTGGAAATCCTCAGTGGCAGAGTCTGCAGGAACCTGACAACTCCTTGGCCACTCTGCTTGCCAGTTTGTGATGGCTTTTGGACACATCCTGGTTTTTCAGTCTCCTGTTTTTCAGACCTCACAGCAGCAAAATGCTCGGGGGGAGGCTCTCAGCACCAGCTTTACCTGGTGGACATCACAGCAGTTTATGGCACTGATATCCCCTGCAGCTCCTGGGGGAGGCGGAGTGATGCTCTGCAGCTTGGCATGGATGTGCTGCTCACCCAGGGCAGTCAGGACAGCCTTCCTGGCCCTGCCAGCCCCTCCGCTACCCACCCAAGGGCTAACAAGGTGCAAATGCTCATTAAACACTGCCCGGAGGCCAGCCGACACCCCAGCGTGTCACCAAGCCCTGGGTGCCCGCGCAGGGAGCATCCCGGGAGAGTGGCACCTTCCCACTGTCCCAATGGCATCCTTAACGAGTGACAGGGCAAGAGGAAATGTCCTCAAGTTGCGCCAGGGGAGGTTTAGATTGGGTATTAGGAACAATTTCTTCACTGACAGGGGTTATCATCCTAGAAGTCTTTTCCAATGTAAATGATTCTCGGATTCGGCGATGCAAGGCATTGCCGAGCAGCTCAGCAATGACTTTGTGGATGTAAGGCACGAATGAAAATGATCTAATGAAAGATCCCCTTGTCCCAAGCTGGACTCTCGCACTCAGCAGAGCCGGCCCAAGCCTCCCGTTCCCAAATCCCACCCCGGGTGCGGGTGGGTGCGGGCGCGCATCCCCGGCATGCGGGGCGCGGGGCCGGGCGGATGGTGGGTGCCGGGCCCGGGGGGGCCGGGGCGGTGGGCAGGGCCGGCGGATGACGCCGGGAAAAGCCGGCCGAGAGCCGGCCCAGCCCCGCCGCCGGCCGAGCGCTGCCCGCGCACCCCCGCACTCGGGTCGGGCGGGCTCCGGCGGCGGCGCACCATGGAGCTGGCCCTGGACTTGTACCTGGCCGTGCCGCTGCTCTGCACCGTCCTGGCGCTCGTCCTCGCCTCCGTCTTCCTGAGGCTGCGGGGCGGCGGCGGCGAGCGGGCGGCGGAGCCGGCTCGGGAGGGCGGCCCCGGGGCCGAGGCGGCGGCAGCGGCCGCGGACAAGGGGCCGGAGGACGAGGGGAGCCGGGTGCCGGTGGAGGAGGTCGGAGTGGGCGACGAGGGGAAGGAAGCGGTCGCCGAGCAGCGGGAGGAGGCGGCGGAGCCGGGCCCCGCGGCCGAGCCCAGCCCCGCGGCGGCCGAGAGCATCCCCCGGCAGCCCCCCGAGGAGCCCCGGCATCCCCCCGAGCAGCCCCGGCAGCCCCCCGAGGAGCCCCGGCAGCCCCCCGAGGAGCCCCGGCAGCCCCCCGAGCAGCCCCGGCTGCCTGCACACCGGGAGGATGCGGAGAGCAAGGTGAGGCCGGCTCCCCACAGCCGAGGTCCCCCCGTGCTGTCCCTTCTCCATCCCTCTGTCCCCGCGGCTGGCGGGGAGGGAGCAGCGCTTCGCGTTTTCCCCTAAACTAAGAGAGGTCTCGGCAAGCCCCGTGTTTTGTTTCGGGTGGGAACGAGCCCGTTG